CAGGTAGAACCAGAGCGCGTAGTAGCCTTTTCCAATGTGGAAGTGCCCACTGTCGTTCGAAAAGCGCGTAGGACTGTTCCGGGTCGATGTTGGCCGTCTTCCCGTCGATGGTAATCGTTCCGGTCAGGCGGGTGGTCGGATTCGCCTGCGGAACAGTTAGAACTCCCATTTCGGACGAGACCTGGGCTTTTTTTTTTCTTTTTTTTTTGGACGTACCCAGTACCAGGACCACCCAGGAAGGGACGTGGCATACGTGGGGTCGGGGCCCCTGTTGGTGAGCTGAATGCCACCGCCTCCGCCGTAGTAAAAGTTGCCGCCTGTTGGCCGGAACGTGACGTCCAGCTTGATACCGACGAGATCCAGCGTCAGACGTGTACCGGTCCACTTGTCCCCGGTCGTGGGACCAACAACAGTCTGGGTCGCGCTTTGCATTTTGAGATACTCGGAGCTTCCGGATCCCGATTCCAGGATCGAACCACCTCGTGCGCTTCGGTTCCCGAGATCGTTGAAGGACACAAAGGAGCCCAGCATGGCTGATCCGCGGAGCCCCGCGTTGGAGTTGAGGTGATACTTGTGACCATCTTCTGTGGTGATCCAGTATAGAACGAAGACGCTATTTCGAGTTAGCTACAGTGACGAGGTAACTGGAAGCGATCGCTTACTTATTCACGTTATTTGTATCCTCTGTGACGTACGCGAGAGTTTTCCGAGCGTCATATCTATTCACGAGGGTCTTGGTCGGTGAGATGATGTATATAAGCGGGGGGTAGGAGGAATCTTACACCATCATTTTCTATCGTCGAGGGGGGGTAGCTGGGGGGCGCCCAGGAAAGCGGCTCAGACGTCATGTTGGTATGAATCTCTTTGCGTTGCACGTCACGAGGGCTTGGGGGCTCTGACCGACTTCATTATTCCAACTCATTTGATCGGTGAGTAAAGCAGCCTTCATATAGTACTGGCACGGCACAGGGGAGCTGAAGAGCCGGCTTTCAGCTTCTATGCAAATCCGTAGGAGAAGAGAGAGCTCCAGACTGCATGTCGGGATTAGCATTTGGAACCGGCATTCGGAGCCGGTATTCGGGATACTAGAGCAATCCGCGGTCCCACTACCACTACCGTGCATCGTCGTGGCAGAGGCGTGTAGTAACGTAGCCCACAAGCGAGTGGGTCGCTGCAGTACTTCTGTAGAATGCCGCGCTTAATTACGTGCGGAGCGGCGATGGAGACTTTCTCTCAATATGCTTAATCGGACCTCGTACTTCAAGCTACGGAAAGAGATCATTCGCTTTCTATCCATCGTGTAGCTTTGATCTATATCTTTCCTAAAGTAACCAACCATAGGCTTGGGGTTACTATTCTCTGACTGGCGCCGGATCTCGTGGACCGCAGATTTATCCAAGGAGCAATACCAAGTAGCGGGATTGCTTTGATGGATCTCCAAGTCGCAGTTGACGCTGCCTACTGCAGTGCTGTGGCGACTGACGATCGAATAGTCCACCTAGCAGCAACTGGGAGACGGAGCTGCATGCAACTACTCTCAGGGAAACAACAATGCTCTTCTACTGGCCATTAGCCCTGATATCTACCATTAAAACATTGTTTGAAACACGATAACATGGAAACCTGGGATCGGGGTTGTCATATACCACTGTGGGAAAGAATTTTAAAAGGACTTCCTGAGTTTGCGCACTCTGCTGGCTTTTTCTGCCACACCACGACATGTAGTTCGGGAGCTCTCCATTGTCGCTATCCTCCCCACGGTGTTGCGGAAACGCTTTAATTAAGATCTGCGAGCCAAACTTGGGCTCCCTAAAAGAAAGACTTGGAAAAAAATCCTAGCTATTACTCTTGTCGAAATACTTTCGAAAGCTCTACGTCATAACATCCCGACAGCCTACATCAACTGGCTTTGTGACCGCATCTCAGAGTATTAGAGACGTCATTCTGAATCGCGACGTCACAGACCGGGCATGTATACACTGAGGAAGATGAATTTAGGTACTGCTGGATATGCTTGGTCATGCCCGTTGCATGACCCAAAAAGCTCCGAAGGAGCTTCGCCTCAACACACTGTACCTCGGCGCGTGATCAGCGAGCCATGTTGCCCTAGGCTGCCCAGAATAATCTCGAGGGCTTGCGAGCCAAGTCATGGCATCCAGAGGCGAAATTCGAAGCAGCAGAAAAGTCCTGTTGTGTTTCGTACCCTTGTCGCCTTGTTTTACACCTGCCTCTTACTATCCCAACCAGCGGGGTAGTCCTCGCCATGCAATTGAAGGTGGCCTGTCCCCCAGTCTACATATAGCCCAGCGTCTCTGATCTCTT